TTTGGGGGGCTGCTTCCATGTACCCAGGGTAGTTGTTACGTTGTAGGGTACTACTTATACTGACCAATTATTTATCTAACGTCTCTGGGTCGCCACTTATGACTTTTGCTCGGTGTTGTAAGCAACGGACGATCCCTTTCTTTACGCTGTATGGATGGTGGGAGTTGAAATTGAGGTACTGTCCGGTGAATGTCGGTTTACGGTATACGAATGTCTTAAACCCATGCTCTGTTCAAGATATTAGAACATCCAGTAATGGGAGTGTGTTGTTACTCTCTTTCTCCATTGTGAGCTGTATCGAAGGTCTTATTGAGTTCACATGGTCCAGTAGAACCTGAACATCTTCCTGGTGTGGCCAGAGTATGAAGGTGTCATCTACGTACCTTAACCATATAGTTGGCTTTAGAGATATAGATTCTAATGCCATTTCCTCAAAGTATTCCATGTATATATTCACCATTGCTGGTGATAATGGCGAGCCCATTGCTAAGCCCTCATCCTGTCGGTATATGTGTGATCCCATTCCGAAGTGTGTTGGTTGTGTACAGAAAGTCAACATCTGCATCAGATTATCTATTGGAATACTGGTCCGTTCTTCTAGGGAAGAGTCAGAGGCCAATCTGTCTCTGACTACTGAAAGTGCCTCCTCCGTGGGTACCTTGGTGAACAAATTCACCACGTCCAAGCTCACCATCCAGTTGGATAGGATGGGAGCATCTTTGATTATTTCCACGAAGTGGGCGGAGTTTCGGACATATGAAGGAGACTTACCGATCAATGGGTCAATTATATCTACAAGGAAGCGACTCAGAGGGTGGCACACAGAGCCTTGGCAACTATCAATCGGCCTGAGCGGAATACCGTCTCTGTGAATCTTAGGGAGACTGTATATGTGAGGTAGCTTGGTATGACGCTGCGATAACTGCCTATACGTCTTAGGTGCGAAGTGATCCTTGTTCTTGATTAGGATCTGTGAAAGTTTGCGTTCCGTTTTCAAAGTAGGATCCTATTTGACTTTGCTGTAGCTACCATTGCTAATGAGGTCTCCCAGGTTTCTTGTATAATCTGATCTATCCATCACTACAGTTGCATTACCTTTGTCAGTCGGTAGTATGATGATGTTTTCGTTCCTCTGTAGGGATCCAATCGCTAGCGTCTCCAGTTTTGTTATGTTAGAGTTGGGCAGCTTGGCTCTCTCCAAGGTCTGTCTCAATTTCCGTCTCAGTTCATCCGCCTGAGCCTGAGGGATGTTCAAGGCCACCTCCTGGACTCTGGTAATGATGTCCAAGTATGGCACTCGGCTGATGGTTGTGGCGAAGTTGAGACCCTTGTTGAATACTGACTCCTCAGAGGCACTCAGCTGATATTGGCGTGGCTGACCACATATGGAGAGAGAAGGGAGATCACCGCCCTCTGTGGGATCATGTTGAGATCATTGACAATGAACACCATTGGAAAAAAAGTAAACTTAAGGACTCAGCACATATGCTAGGAAACAAAATCTCCTGAGCTTGGAAGCATAGAAATAAATACAATATGGGAACCAGTAATAAGGAGTGCCAGAGAAATGCAATGATAACCACATAGTTGCAATATGAGCTCTAGTAAAAACATGCAATGATAACAGCAAAATTGCAATATGAGCACTGGTAAAAATGGTTGCTAAAGACATTAGGTTTATAATACCCAGAAATCCATACCCAGATGTCCTCAAGGAACAGTGGATAAGGGCGTTGGTTAGAGCCAGTGACCCGACCCAAAGAGTGTGAGTTCAATACCCAGTTAAGGCAGTGGAGAACTTTCAGAGAGAAATTAACAGGAGATAACTGATAACTGACATCCATCAAAACATGGCACGTGGAACTAGAACAGTCTACCCCGGTGAGCGAAATAAAGAGTTCATTTCGACATTCCAAACACCTGAAGAAGGCCGGAGCATACAACCTCCGAAACGTTGTGATAAATATGGCGACAAAGATGAGGACAATAGTCCGAATAATGTAAATAATGTACATAATACCTCATCTCAAAAATATAGACAGACTCTGGTAATATTTATTTCTTCAAAAATGTATTGCTGATAATATTTTTTCCTCAAAAATGTATTGGGGGTAAATTGTATTGCTGCTAATAAGTTTTCCTCAAAAAATTATTTCTGGTATTAAAACCTATTTTCACACTTTCATAGTGTTTTGGTCTCAGTTTGGGGGTTAATTATTTGCCCAAATTTGGGACATGGCTGACCACATACGGAGAGAAATGGGAGATCACTGCCCTCTGTGGGATCAGGTTCAGATCATTGACAAAGAACACCATTGAAAATTCTTAGACTTAAAGAATCGGTATATATGCTAGGCCACAAAAATCTCCTGAGCCAACCGAGCATAGAAATGAATACAATATATGAACCAGTAATAAGGAGTACCAGAGAAAAGCAATAATAACAACAAAAATTGCAATATGAGATCAGGTAAAAACATGAAATATAACAGCAAAAATTGCAATATGAGCCCTGGTAAAAAAAAGTTGTTGAAGACATTAGATTTATAATACCCAGAAATTCATAAACAGATGTTCTCAAGGACACATGACACAGGGGATAAAGGCGTTAGTTACATCCAGTGACAGGACCCAAAAAGTGTGAGTTCAATTCCTGGTTATTAGAACTTGGAGAGGGGAATTAACAGGAGATAACTAAAGACTGACATCCATTAGACATGGCACGTGGAACGAGAATAGTCTACCCTAGTGAGCGAAATAAAGGGTTCAGTTCGACATTCCAAACACCTGAAGAAGGCCGGAGCGTACTACGTCGAAACGTTGTGATAAATATGGCGACAAAGATGAGGACAATAGTCCGAATAAAGTAAATGATGTATATAATACCTCATCTCAGAATTATAGACACACCCCTAACTCTTTGCTATTAGTATAGTGGTTATATATCCTCTTGAATAACAGCCTGTAACTTTTCGGCAAGTTTTCAAAAAGTGTATGCACTCCTGCTAGGGAAACCCGACACATTTTTGGCAAATATATTAATTGATGCGTCCCAGATATGTTCTGGGATTTATGTCAAGGTTTTTCATGTGAGCCAATGATCAAGGTTAATTTTGACATTCTGGTCATAATTATTCACCAAAAGACATGTCTGCTGACATGTTGTGAAAAGAAAAACTTAAAAAAAAAATCATGATACAGACTCAGTTTTGTTGCTGATTACTTTTAGTTATATTTGGAAGTCTTTTCATTGTTTTTCATTATTCGTCCCATTCCCTTCATTCAGGAATGCTCTCTTGTCGGGAAAGTTGAAATTAATATTAGCTGAAGCTCTAGGTAGGAGTGCATTCTCCCGGGTAGTACCTCTCTTTCGGGAGAAGACTTACGTTATTACCCAGCACTTAATGTAACCCCAAAAAGGGCAGTGTCGAAGGGGCTTGAGCAATTTTTCTACAGTATTCCTGGTAATCTCACATTACATCTCGACCATTTGTCACATTCGATAGCGACCTTGGCGCACTGAAATATACCGTTCATCATTCCCTTCAACATCGCAAGATCCCCACTACACTCTACACCTGACAATCTTTCACTCTAAAGCTGTTCTTCTTAGGGTTACATGATCTCTTCTTTCTTCAAACACATCAATAATCGTTATGGCTGAATTTTCGCTTCTTCTAAGCAAAGTGTGCCTCAGCTTTCTCTACGTGATCCTAATCATACATCAGTCTGGCTTGTAAGTGTCTTCTTGGTAGAAGTTGAGTTTGTCCTTCTCTGTGAACCCAAAATCTATTGCTAAGCCAGGCTCTGAGAGATTTCTTTGATTCTTCAAATCCCATCTTAGATAAATCAAGTATGAGTGTTCTTGAAGCCGCATCAATTATCAATAAATATTTGAGATTATTCGCTTACAACATTCGTCACCATTGTTACGTTATGTGTGGATCTCTTTGAACTTCTTGATAATAATTCTAACTCCAGTTCTTGATAATTGGAAATAATTTCATAATTTTGTCTGTCCTTGTTTGTGGCTATCAACAATTCTTTTTCTCATATCTGAACGAATTTCTTTTGCTTTTCATAAGATTTCACAAGGACACCTCAATGTCTAGTTTAAATCGTTTTTCTTTGTGGCTATCAACAATTCTTTTTCTCAAATCTAAACGAATTTATTTTGCTTTTCATAAGATTTCATAAGGACAACTCAAACTCTGTTTCAAGTTTTTAGTCTGTTTGTATAATGGAAGTTAAACCTCTATGATAACTGAAATTCTCAGTGCTCATAGCATTATGTTAATGCAAATCAATTCACAACAGTAGCCCAAGTTCAATTTCTCAAGCTGTTCTTGCGTCTTGGTAGAAATCTCGCAACATGTCCTGATGGTAACATTCAAGGTAGCATGAAGAATATAACGTCGTTTTTTCAAGACTGCTTACGAAACTTCAACATTGGTATGTAATTGCCTTTTTACGATTGCTTACTGAAAAGTTCATAGGCTAACCAAGATATAAACGTAAGTAGACACAGCAGTTGGTAAACGAAAAGACGTGCATGTGTATCAGAATACGACAGTTAACTCCCGTACACCGATCTTTTATATAGGGTGATGCAAAAGTCGGTATCCAGTAATGAAAAACAAAACAGACGAGAAGATTCAAGGCCGCATGAAAAATGTTAACGACGTTTTTCGAGATTGTTTAGTAACCTGTAATATTGATATATGCTTGTCTAACTTATCTTTTTAAACCTTTCTTTAGATATGCATATACATATCTGAGTCGGCGGGCATAATGTCTTTGTTCATACGCAAAGAAAAATCTTTTTATTTGTTGTGGCTTTCGTTCGTATATATTTAATTTATTTTTTCAGTATCTTTTTTTATGGATGATACTTTTGTTTTTAAATTGTAAACATGTTGCACATAAGCAAAGTTTATATCCTCTTTTGTTGATTTATATTTTTCTGGATACCTATTACGTCTATATTCTGTTATGTTTCTATGTCTGCGCACTTTTTGTTGGGCCATTCATCTTTTGTTCGCTTGCATCTATGCGTTGAGTTTGTTTGACTTCATATATTTCCTGGCTTGATTTGATGTCTCTTTTTAGTTCTCAAATTTAATTTTCATCCATGTATTTATTTTTGTCTCTTTTCTTTTGGAATGACTAAATTTACCAATGTCATTACTACTTCGCTTAATGTGTTTAATTTTGAATTACCAACCTTTCTAAGCATTGATATTTTTACGATTCGCTACATCGGCGTATGCTTGTCTACAAATGGAGACATTATACGTTTTGTTGTAATATATATTAAGCGTTGCCTTAGTTTATTGTATATTATTAAAATCATATTTCGTTTTTATATGACTAAGGAGCTACTTATAAGGTCATGAAAATGATCCCTCAGTACAGTGTCATTTGCTAAGTACTGTTTCGCTCGGATTCAAATATATGTGAGGAGCTAATGAACTGTCCTCTGCCCAACCAAGAAGAGACCCAAAATGAAATTCTGATGTTTTGATATTTGGTCAGTTATTAAGAAGTTTTTTCCGGTCGAGAGGTTTTCATCTTGAATATCTCTAAAAAAAAGTATTAGAAATTTAAGTAAAAAAAAAGTCTTTGTCGATAGCATGATAGTGTCTTCAAACTATATGACATATGAATGACGTTTCTTTTATTACAGCTTTATTTCCGGTTGAATTCTACTGTAATTAACTTTATTAGAATCCTAATTATTATCATATTTTATTTAATTAACAAAGCTGATTTGTTTGATGTCGGAATACCTTTCCACCTGCATTCTGTGTCAGCAACATGAATATTAATAAACTAATGTCATCATGAATTTCACCTCTGTAGCATATATGGTTTATCAGTTTCGTAAGCTTATCTTTGTCCGAATCATTTAATTTGAAATTTAATGAGAGTATTATCTTGTTCTGTTGCTTCGTTCCTCCTCACTTGAAAAATTCTGTCCTTACCTCAGATTTAATACGACGAGTCTTTCTGTTTTTATGTATTTAAATTTGTAGTCTTTTTTTCTGTAATGGGATAGTTTTCCTATGATGTAATTCCACCTTTACAGGAACATATATACTTTGCTACACTCGGTCGGCAATTTCATATCCAAACCATTTCTTTTCTCTTGTTCTTCTTTCATGGAAAGTACTAGTTTTTCTATTGATACTAATATTTTTCCTTTAAGTCTTGCTTTATTTATGTTCATATTCACTCTTCAATGCGAATAGATATGCTTACTGTCAAATGAATTCATGGCGGGGTTCTGCACTTTGTTTCTTTTTGTTTTCGTTAATTTAGAAATTTTAGTATGGCTTGTCCATATAACTGGAGGCGATGAGTCCCATTCAGCATTTGTGTATATTTTCACTGCAAAACTCTATTTGTAAATCATTTTTTATGGTTAAGTAGTCTATTTGTTTCCTCTTGGGATTTTGGATGTTCTTCAAATTAATGTTTTTTTTTTATTATTATTATTATTTGTATATTCTGTATTCACTATTGAAACTCGTGCACATTGCATAATTCAAATCTATAACATTGACCGACTCTTTGATTAAGAGTACACGCGTCTGCTAGCGCGGTTCGACAATCCCTGTTGCTGACGCCTGCTCAGTCACAGTTTTTTTTGGTTTTTTGTTCAGCTCCTACAGAGACCAGCTGCGGTTTGTATGCAACTATACCGAGTTGAACCGAGTTAGAGTTTCTAGAAGAGAGCACATAATCTGACGTGATCATCCTTTTGAAAAAAAAGGTCAGTACACTCCAATCTTCGGTCCTGATGACTTGTGACTTTATGCTAGCACAGCCATCTGCAGACTCCGAACAGTTGCATGTACCAAATTTCCCTTACAAGACCTGGGTCAGCTCGTTGTAAATCTTTCAATCACTTTCCAACGTTGTCTCACGCTGCGATAACTTTTACAGATTGATAACATTAGGAAGCTATATCCCTAATAGACAGACCAAAGGGAGATTCGAAATATCTTTTCGTTGTCTTGCGGACATCATAATGGCTAGAGAAATGTATTAGAAGTAGTTACTAATGGTATTGTCAGAAATTAAGCATCCGTTACTAATAATATACGACTATTATTCGTAAGATATATACAAACAATTATAAAATTGTATTAATAATGGCAGGAAATGGACTGTCCTCTGTCTCGAGTTATAATTAGCATTGCTGAGAGACAGGCACTTTTAGATATAGTATTTAAAAACATATTGTATAGAAATTCTAAATAAGTTTGATATTATTAATTACTGGCTGCAAGTCGGGTTCTTATACATACAAACATACATAGATACGTACATACGTTATACGTATATATATATATATATATATATATATATATAAAAGTGAACATTGAAGTCAACATTTAGAGGCGACCGGCTGTTTCATGCTAGACGCAATCGTCAGGCCACGAGTGCTGACGATTGCGTCTAGCATGAAACAGCCTGTCATCTCTAAATGTTGACTTCAATGTTCACTTTTATATTTACACAGGCTCTATCACTGATATTGAGAACTTTATCCCATAAATATAGCACACCTTAAGAATATATATATATAATGATATATATATATATATATATATATATATATATATATATTTATGAAAAATTATTTAAATTTGAAAATTTTTTTCAAGAAATGGAAAATATCGTTTAAAGGGTTGTGGTTTTAACCCTGACGACTGGAAATTTTTTCAAAAACACCGATTTCAATTTTTTCAAAATAAAGTAAAAATTGCAAGAAATGGTCTTTCGTTTAAAGCCATCATTAACGTTCTATTTTTGATATTATTTTAATATTTTTTAATGTAAATATTTTTAATATTTAATAGTCTCTATAAAAATTAACGTTCTTTTTTGATATTATTTATATTTTTATATATATATATATATATATATATTACAGCAAAAAAAACAAAAATTACCTCAACATAGTATAGTCTATTTCAAGCCGATCTGTACGCGGCTATCATCAGCCCCAAAGTGTCTGTCTCGGAGCATTGTTTTAAATTTATTTTCAATGTCAACCCTCCTCTGGTAGACGGCTTGTCAATGCGAATGGATTTGTGTTAGCGATTGGTGGGGGCATAAATTATCTATTCCCTGATCTGGGGTTGTCGTTTATTTATGGCCAGAATCTGTATTGTAATATCAGTTCCTACTATGCGGCATTTCTTATACGAGCCCCAAATGTGTTTTTCTGGGATTCACTGTAAATATTGTTTGTAATACAGGTGTCCGGTATTATTAAGCGATGAGGGAATTAAACTTAACCCCGTTAAGATTAATGTAAATTAGGTGAATTATAGATTTATAGATTGTGGATAATAATAGAGCACTCAATACAATAAATCAGGCTGTCCAACACACTTATATGCGGACATATCTTCATACATACATATATGCACATTTACATGTCCATACATATATGCTACTATACGCACAAATACACCCCCACATATATGCACATGTATTCTTATGTAATTTGGAATTTATTTCTATGTCTACATTTCGTGATTACTTCTTTCTGTTGATTTAATAGTTTGCATTGATCTTTATATTTTATTATCCTGATTTTTTTCTTCTAAGGATAGTTTGCACCTTTTAACTAAAACTATTGGGGTTGTTCACGAAACCTAGAATTTTTCAATTTATTTGAGGATTTAGACCCTTTTCCTTCAATTCCTAAAATTTTTTCGTAAGGGCTGTTTGGTGTTTTCATTTTGGATTCGTGAATGAATGTCGTGTATTGATTCTCTTTCTAAATTCTCCTGCAAAAATGCCAATGTAAATATTATGGTTTGTCGGTTTTTCTTTAGGGATAATGGTTGCCTAGTATGCTACTTTAATGGATCTGAATTTGTTTTCCTTCTACAATTACAGTGGGTTTCCATGTTAGATTTTTTTTTTCCAAACATAATTTTCTTACAGTCCATTTTAAGTAAATTCTTAAGTAATTTTTTTAAGAAAATTAGCAGGTACAACACCCAAAGATAGTCAAATACGTTATTGTTAATCCTTTCACTCCAAGAACCGCCACTAAAAAGCAACGGATTACAGGGTGTTAAAGAATATATGAAAATATGCACTTCTCGCTTGTGAAATTCACTCCCGGTTTTTTTTACTTTCCAGTCAATTTTGGTCTTCAAAAATTTAACTGCATCTTTTATCGTTATCTTTTGCTTTCTTAGTGCCAGTTCATTTATTGTTCATACTCTTTAATAATAATTTCTTTTTCTGATATTCTCTCATACTCTAGTAATCCCTTGCATCTTAGTGGCTTTATTGCCTTGCGTGGGCTGTAATAATTAAAAAACTATTATTGACAGTATTTAAATATATATTGACGGTATCAGGAAAGATATGTCATTATTGAAATCATGAGTTTTAGATCTTCAGAAATACTTTAACTCCTTTTTTCTACGATTCCTATATCAGTGATACCGTTTCAAATTAAATATCTACATATGTTCCTCCATGAATCCACAGCCAAATAATTGCTGCTTTCAGCAATATATATATATATATATATATAAGTTTAGTATTTTATTTTCCTTCACTATTTCCAGCTTCGAGCAGGGCGATTTTTATTTTGATCGAGTCATTTTATACATGAATACGCGTAAATGCAGCTGCTATGTATTCGCAAAAGAAAACATGTGTTTGATGAAGAGTTTTAAAAGAACATGAGATTATTATTATTATTATTACTAATAATATTAATATTATTATTATTTCTTTTAGAAAAAAATAGGAAGAAAAGAGCAGCTGCTCTCAAAGCAGAAACATAAAACCATTTCTCGTCGAACTTATCTCATCTCTCTTTGCTGTCTTCAAATTTCTCTTTTTTTTACTTCATCCTTTACTTGTTTCCCGTATTGTCTTTTTCTTTCTTTACACTCAATTCGCTGCAGTTTCTCTTTCACGTCCCTTCCCTTTCTATTGACTCTCCAATTTTGTCCCTTATTCTTCTACTTTTTATCTCTCTTTTTCCTCTCCCTCCCTTCCTATTTTTTTTATCTTCCCTCCCTCCTTTAGATTGTTTCTTACTCTCTTATTTTTCTAATTCTCTCTTTTTTCCCCTCTTCTCTACAATTTGACTTTTACTTTCTTATCTTTTCTATTTTTCTTCTCCCTTTCTTCCAATTTGTCTTTTACTGCTCTTTATTTTCTAATTTATTCTCTTCACAAGCTTTTGATCATACCTTTTTCGTCTTTTCTCTCTATTTTCTCTCATACTAGTATTAGTCTTTCTATTCAACGTCTTTCGTTATCCACTTCTGCTTTAGCGCCATTTTTTTTTTTTTACTTTGACCATTATATATTTTTTCTTTCTTTTTCTTCTCAACTTCACGTTCTCGTATTCTTTCTTTCTTTTCTCTTATATTAGTCTCTCCTTTGTAGGAAACTCTCCGTGTTTTACCCCCTCCCTCTGTATCTCCTTTCCTTCAGTTACATTCCGCTTTCTTCTTTCTCGCTGTCCTTCCATACTGCGAGTCTCTCTCTACTTTTTTCATTTGATCTCTCTCTCTCTCTCTCTCATGGATTCATTGTATCAGTCTTTCTGTCTACAGATTTTTGTTTCCCTCTGCTCTCCTTTTTTTCTTTCTATATTCCTTTATTCCATATTTCCTCACCTCTCTCTCTCTCTTCGTTCTTTGTTATTTTATCACTCTCCAACGATATCTCCCTCATACTCTCTTCCCCGCGCGCTGTTCTTCCTACTCCGTCTCACTCTCTTTCTCCCTACGCCTCGTACATAGATTTTTATTATCCATACCAATCACTATGCTTGTGACTATTCCCATATATATATATATATATATATATATAGAGAGAGAGAGAGAGAGAGAGAGAGATTTACTGAGTCACTTTTTCTAATCCCGACCACATACAGAAGCATGTTATACAGACAAGAATCTCCCCACTTTCTTCCACTTGTCATATTATTGACTCTCTCTCTCTCTCTCTCTCTCTCTCTCTGCTCGTCTGTCTCGTAGCCAACATATATTTTATTAATCCAACACGAAAGCACCTGCTGTAAACCGATAGTTAGCAAACTTGTTTGCAAACAAGTCACAAAATAAATAATCGCTACTTTAAACTATTGGTTCGTAGTTCCTACGAAGATATTGTCAGTGATTTCCATCCTCTGTGTGCAAATTTCAAATACGTCCCTAGGGCGGTGACATTATGTTTAAATATTCCTTTAACCCCTTCTCGGCGTAGACTGTGTTTACCAAAAGTGTCCTTCTTCAGACTCAGACGAATAAACACGTCCAAAATATAGCGTTAAAAAAAAACAGCTACGGACGTGTTTATACGTTGATCTCAATTCTTTTGATGCCTTTCTGTGATTGAAACAAGTCTTATTGTCAACTCATACGTCTGGCTGAAGTGATAGCCACCACTCGAGTACTTCAATGTGTCTCAATTTCTTAGTCGATTTTGATCCCTTTATGCCCTTCTGAGCTAGAAAAGTGTCCTATTGTCAAATCATACATCGGGTTGAGGTCTATGCCACCACTCGAGTACTTCAATGTGTCTCAATTTCTTAGTCGATTTTGATCCCTTTATGCCCTTCTGAGCTAGAAAAGTGTCCTATTGTCAAATCATACATCGGGTTGAGGTCTATGCCACCGCTCGAGTACTTCAATATGCCTCTGTTACTCTATCTTGATTCTTTCATGACATTTTGAGCTTGAAATGAGTCCTATTGTCAACTAATATGTCTGATTGAATACTTCAATTTGCCAAGTTTTTTAGTTAATATATTAAATCAGATAGGGAAATTCTTTTGGAAATGAAAAGTCTTTCCCAAAAATAATTGGCGGAGAAGGCCTTAAGAATTCGACTAAAGGAAAGCAGGAATAAAAGCCGAACCATACATAAAAAAATAAATAAAAAAATCGTCAGTAAATCAACTATGAGTTCTAAATCTTCGTATGCTGTGTCTCCATAATTTCCTGTCTTTTGGAGTTCGCAATATATTTTCTGATTTCGTTATTTGTCCGAAAACCTGTGCCGCGATCGATCTACTCAAGCTCATTAAGTATGTCATGCGTCGTTTTCCTCTTCTTCAATTGTCCTCCATCTGTCCTGTGAGTATCAGATTTTCCAAACACTCCTTCCTCATTATGTGCCTCAGAATTTTCAACAATCTATTCCTGATGTTATAAATTTTCATTTTGTTCCCATCTTATCTAAAACCATGCCGTTGCTCACGTATTCGGTTCACGGTATGCTCAGTATTCTTATGTAGAATCATAACGCAATTTTTTTTTCATTTTCCATATAGGAGAATTGATATCACGTAAGAGATCAATATTTTTTTCTTTGTTTCCTAAAGTGTTTTTTTTTCTGTTTCTTCGGATATTAATGTCGGATTTAGTTAATTTTAGATTTGCATGTTATTTAAAGCCAGGAAGTACACACGATCCATAAAAACCCATTCGGTTATAATTTATTTCATGAATATATAAAATATGCATGGCTTCAAACTGAAACTTTTTTTTAATAAATGGAGACAATTTGTAGAGAGAAAAGGAAAAGGAAGAGAAAGAAGAAAAGAAAAAGGAAAAATATTATATTATCATCATTATTATTATTATTATTATTTATTAAAAAGTACTTCGTCCGAAGAGATGAATATTTGTAAATATTCATGAAATAACTTATAACCGAATGGATTTTTAAGGAACGTCTGTAGTTTTATTATTATATTGATCTGTTTCTTGCATTGAGCTCTCTTTGGATTCATGTCCTCCTTGGAATTACCCCTACCAGTTATCAACGGACATATATATATATATATATATATATATATATATATATATGTGTGTGTGTGTGTGTAAGTGAATGCAGAACATTTTCCTCATAGATGAGTAAGAGATGTGAGGCAACAGAGTTGTTGTCCTACAGGAGGATAGTGAGAATAACATTTTAGAAATTTTTAAGAAAAATGAAAATAAAAAGACACTTTAAATCATAAGTAGTGGAATTTTCTGGAACACATAATGCTCGTTTAAATGGATGGCAGCAAAGAACTGAAAAGTATAGGAAGTTATCGAGAGATATGATCGATCATCTGCTGAAAGGACACAGCACATAGAAGAAAGACTGACAAAGTTTAAGCAGCTTGAACCACGTAATATAAGTCCTGAGAGCAATTCTGATTTTTTTGCCACATTTTGTTTGGACTCATTTCAGTTTTGGCAAAACTTAGATAATACTGACCTATTGTAGCTAACTGCCTCGATTCAGAAACTGTCTCAGAAAGATTATTGACATGTAGTTTGTTAAAACGCGCTCAATATCATTCTTTTAATAGAGCAATAATTTCAAATCGCTATGTGGATCGGTTCTATATGTGGTTTCCCAGTGAAGCATTGTCCCAGCCCCACTACAGTACCCGTTGCTGCTATTACGTTTTACGCGCTGCTGTTGCTCGACACACGTTCAATCAGATTCAATTTGTTTTTTCCTAGACTTTTAAAAACCAAGTGTAGAAAGCACGTTTTGTGCTGCTGTTTTAACTATATAGTGGCATTGAGTTGAATACTGAACAGCGAGAGTTTGGTTCATAATTATGAATTATACATAAGAATATTATAAATAATTTCTTTAATTAAAGTGGTATTCCCAATGTTGTATAGCCCGCTCGTGCTAGAGAGCTCTTTGGCGACGGTGATCGCTCGATAATAAAGTTGCATTCTTCTTTCTTGACCGGTGATCGCAAGTCCTTTGAGACTAGAGATGAAACAACTTCAACAAAGAGAATTTTACTTAGCTATTTTATTAATCACTTCGATGTGTACATTTCTACATAACTAATCGGGTCGCTCTCCTCTAACTGGGGAACCGTTTCAGACACGAGAGAAAGTATGTCTATATTGTTTGACGATTAAGAAACAACTCTGAAAAACATTTCTCTATCTATCGTTCTCATGCTCGTTTAGCCAGTTAAAATAGACTTCCCTGTTTTGTCTTCCATCTGACCTCAAAGATCAACTTCATGGAGTCGGAGCAGCGATAGATTTCCGCTAAAAGAATAATATTCTGCTAAACTATTATTTAACACCAGGTAAGAATTTTGAGCACGAAATTTCCAGTGTCACACTTCTATTCTAAAAAGAGCCAGATTAGGCAGAAAAATTGAATACTGCTACCACATATAGACATTTTTTAGTCTCGATAGTCTCTATTTACACGCTCTACAATCTCTTTTTTGACAGACGAAACTTCGTAAGCCTTTTGCTTTCCTCTCTCTATTTCATGAGAAACTGTTCAAATGAAATACATTCCATAGTTCCATCAGTACTAACGATCATAGTCAGGGCCCGCCATGTTATGCACGTTGTAGCGAACTAACATTATTCCCGTTATAATCCAGTGGTGAGATGTAAGCTCCACTCGAGCAGTTTTTTCCACTGCTTTTTGGAATCGACGCCCAAGAGAACGTTTTCCCTGATCGTTAAAATTTTAACGTGTTCAAGTCTATAGCTAACCGTTATCTTGCTCGCATATCCCCATAAACTCTAGCTCATCTAGCCGTGAAAATACTTGTAGAAAGACAGAGGGAAGCCACAGCACGTCTGTGAGAAAGCGATTGTAGACGAGATTCCCGATCAGGACCTCAAAGACACTGTGGACTGCGAAGAAAGGCCGCTGATTCACTGATCGTGAGGCACGCCTGGGAATGCTAGCGCTGCAGGGAGCTGAGGCGGAAATAGTTTTACATCAAGATGGGAAACATTCACGCTGTCACATACGCAGCAGTCTTGAGCAGACGGTCAGATATCAGCTTATGATCTTATTGGATAGTCGTTAATTGCATAGGTAGTAAGTATTTTCGTTTCATTTGTTTTAGGTTTGTTGATTTTATTCTATATTCGTTTGACATATATGACTCCTCCTGCTATCTACTATCTTTACAAGGGCTAGATCAGGCTAAAGATAGAGTACTGTTGCCATATTTGATCTTACTCTCGAGCTTTGAGGGCGTGCAAAGTCAACTCCGAACCCTTGTGTGTGACGAAATATTCTCCACCAACATCTCTCCCAAAAGCGGTATGAGTCGAGACTCTGGCTGCTCTACCGCTAATTCCATGGAAAGTGCTCGGACGAACTACAATCACTGGTCCAGCCAATTCAAACCTCCACAGCAATAACACATCATGCCACATACATAGTAGCAAATAACCCACATTACTTCAATAGTCCATCAGGGCGAAGTAAGTTCCACTCGAATAGCTTATTTCCGCAAACCACTGCTCTGTAGAACCGACTCCCGCGGGGATGTTTCCCAGATCAGTACAATCTTAACCTGTTAAAGGCTAGAGTTAACTATCAACTTCCACTCGTATATGCACAAATTGACTTCTAACGTAACCGTCTACCTCGTGTGACCTCTGGGCATTGTAAAGGGTGAACCTTACTGTAAAGTTAAATAAGTATATGAAATAACTGTGGTAGGGAATATTTTTTAAAATATTTTTAGTATATTTCTCGTCATCAGATCAATATTCAGGGTTGCAGATTTCCAAACTACGAATAAATGTAATATCGCTGCATTAATGTTCAAATCGCAGGTTAAGATCAATTAAATCTAATTTTTAGATCATTTTTCTTTCCGAAAGAATTTTTTTCACAATGAATTCAGTAAAACCATTCATAAATCCTAAACTTGTCTTAATTTATTTTAAGTAATAGTTTTATTTCAGAGAAAAAAAAATAAAAGACAGAAAATATCAGTTTCACTTTT